TTAAATTCATGTGAGTTAAAAGACAACTTGAATATTATTTCCCATTTTCTACTAGCTTCTTGATCATATTCAGCAGTACATTTACTTTCTTTACATATAGTTAAGGAATCTTCTTTATTTCTACTGTAACTCTGTCATAATGGAAACTCTCAGCAGAATCAGCTGTCATCTATCCTGTGTGCAGAGGCGAGAATCCTCATTTGTGGGATGACCACTCACAGCTTTAAATGTTTTTACTGTAACTGTTCTTATAAGGTAGCAAGCTAGAGAGAGAGAAAGAGAAGAAAAGAGTTCTCTCCTCATATTCCCATCTGTGTGTGATGACGTTAGTCTTCCTCTGTTGTATTTTTCTAGAATGTGTGTGCATGTGTGCGTGAGAGAGAAATGTCTTGTCTTTGTCCTAATAGCTACTCTTCTCTCCCTCTAGTTGTTTCTCTATCCTCTCCTTTTTTCTTTTTTCTTTTTTTCTTCATCAGTATCTTCTTCTTCAAAAAATTCTGGATGAATCAAATTTCCAGCTTCCTCACTTTTAATATGGTAAAGTTACTTGGATCCCCAACATCAAGGGATCTCATACTTTAATGTATGTAAGGATTGCCAAGGACACCTTTTAAAAATACAGATTTCCAGGCCTTTGAGCAGTTCTTATCCAGTAGATACAGGGTGAGGTTGAGCATCTCCAAGCCTTCCCCCTTCATATTATGGTGCAGGGGTTCAGGGACAGTTTTCCTCTGCATCTCCCTGCTGTTGCTATGAACAGTGGCTACAGCATCACTAATATTTTCTTTCTTGTTTTAATTGCATTAATATTGTTAACCAGTTAATAGCATTTTCTTAAAATTATGGTCAGAGGCATAGGCATTTGATTTATAATGGTATCTGCAGACCACTCTTTTATTGAATTAATTTGTTTTGTTTCTATTTCCACAATTGTAAATGATGTGAGTTAAGTGACCACTTTACTTCAACTACAGGAGAATGTGAAAACACTCCAGGAGAGAGGGGTTGCATAAATCAATGCAAACTTGTCCACAGAAGGTAAATTTTATTTCAGATTGTCATTAAATAGTATACCAGCATTTAAATCTATCAACTCCAACTCATAAACTAAGATTATCCTCTTTCTATGAGATGCCTCAATAATACCTCCATTTTTCCATTTTACCAGAGAGAAAATTATTATGAATCATAACTAAGCTATTGATCTTGACTTCTTTATTATGTGTACCATTTGCCTATCTTGGATTACTACTTAAAACTTTAGTACTTTTCACATTCTTCCTGTGGAGCTATTTTTAAGTTGGGCTAAAATATTTCATACAGAAATACTTCCTATATGTATTGGAATGACTCTGAAATAAGCACCCACTACAGACTTCCTTTTAACCCTGACATGTGGCATGTGCATCTGTAGGCTTTCATCGTATTACAGTTATTTCTAGGTAAGTGTCACAGGACACATGTTAGTTACTGACATACTCTAATGTCTTGATGTTGAATTGAATGAATGAATAAAAACATGAACATTATGGCCTTACCACTTCCTTTGCCAAAGACCCCTAGGTACTGCTGCCGTAATGAGCAATGACCCTTACTTTTACTGCAGGAGCTGCAGCCTTAGCAGCAGAGTCCGCCTCTGCAGTCTCCTATCCCGAGTGTGTGCTGCAGCCTCTCTGGCTCCTGAAGTTATTTCCATCTTTGTGTTTTAGTTTTACCCAGACTGTCTGTCTGTCTGTCTATGTATCTATCTATTTATCTATGTATA